GGATTGCATGGTTTTAGAAATTTGAGAAATACATAATATTCTTGGAGATTTGTTATGCACATTAGTACATGAAAAAATCTGAGAAATTCTCTGGAGGGGAAATTTTAATTTTGTTTAACAGTGTTTCTCAAAATTATATGACAATGGAAACATTTTGGCCCAGAGTAAACTATGGAATTAGTGCTGTAAGGGATTTCCTTGGGGAAATACAGGCCTATAGAGAGAAATGAGCCTTTGAGAAACCTCTCTGCCATAGTCATATCTGTTTTGAGGTGGGTAGGATAAGAAAAGCTGGGGAAGCACCCTGCTCATTAAAAATGTGGGTGAGCCCAAACAAATCAAATACTTTATCTGGCATCAAAATTAAAGTTTGGACTCAACAAGCTATGGGTTACTATTTCTATTGTGGCACCTTCCTCATGAATTTTCAGGGGAAATTCTCGCTATATTCAATTATATGCTAAGGACTGACTTTAGAATGTAACTCTTCTATAAGACATACCCCCACATTTAGTGACTAAGCTCTTAAGTCATTTAAAAGATCCCAGAGAAGTAAATATTGGATTTGCAAGGAAGTTTTATTTTTTTACATCAGTTTCCTTTTATCTCCCCTTTTATCAACTTATCAGTCAGCCACATTTAAAAAACTAAAATCAGTAGACTGTGTCATACTATTATTTTTGCCCCTAATAATAACCTCCTCCCTCCCCACCCTGCTAAAAGGAAGTAGCTAGAGTCACAGAGTTAGAATATTGAAAAAGTACCCCCAAAACACGTTTGACATTTAGTTTGTAACTGAGAAGAGTGATTTGGTATTTGACTCAAGTTGCTCAAGCACATTTGCCTCTCAGTGGGCAAAAGCAGTGCAGGACAAATGTAACTGCAAATATAGTGAGGTGTCATACATAGAATGAATCTTCATGATAGTGTTCTAGTGAAGGCTTAATGCAGAAAATATAAAGCAATATTGGAGTGGGAAAGACAAATGATTCACTTCTTTGTTATAGTCCCAGGTCCAGCAATAGGGGACAGGCCTACTATTAGTATTGAAGTTTCTTGCAGTTGGAAACAAGAATACACATCTGAATTTGTGGGGCAACAGCAAGTCCATGCAGGACAATTTGGGATGATTTTCAAAAACTAGTGAGATTTTCAACGCACATATGTATATACAGAGCTCTAGAATGACGGGAGAATTCGTAGGGGACTTTCTGGGGTAATAGAAGTCAAGTCACTGGCATTTGGTCCAGAGTACATTGGAATCATGATGCAAGTCTCTGTAAGGACTTTTTTCCTTTCTTAGTTTGAAACTGTGTGTAACCACCTTCACAGAGCAAATTTATGTCCAAGAAAAGTAATTTAACCAAATGGATTATTCCAAAGGAAAAGGGAAAGTTAAAGAAAACTTACTGTTTTTCACTAGAGCTTTGTTTACAAAAGCACGTAATTACTGGAAGTCCCCTTGGCCCTAGCACATGAACTTATCATGAGAATGTGTCTGAAGGGATTTTTATGATTAAATAAATGTTTAAAATAGTGGTGACATACTTTCCCTTAATAGTTTATTTATAAAAGTTTGAATACTTGTACACACTGAGCTATGAGACTGAAGAAAGCCAACTGCGATAGAGACATACTGTCCCCCAGGCTGGTCATTGGTGCTTAACATGGATGTTCCAGTCTATTTCCTTTCATGTGGAAGATATTTGTGAATTCAAAACAGGAAATTAGACTGGTAAGTTCTCTGACCCTTGGTTTCCTGGTCTGTAAAATGGAGGGACTAGTTTGGATGAGCTTGCAGGTGCACCCAACACTCTGTATAACCCTATCCACTTAAGCGGGGGCCAGGGCTAGTGATTGTGAATGTGAATGGATAGCACTCCTATGACTTAGGTTAGCTTATACAGCAGAAGGTATTTTGCAGATGTAATTAAGGTTCCTAATCAGTTACCTTTGAGTTCATCAGAAAGAGGATTGTTGTGGGTGGGCCTGACCCAATCAGGTAAGCTCTTAAACAGAACTGGGCCCTTCCTGAAAGAAGAGATTTGGAGTGGGAAAAGGTCTAGGAAGCTGGGATGGAGGGAGGTGGAGACATCAGCAAAGCGAGGCCAGCCTCTCCAGGGCCGCTTTGAATGCATTAGTTCCTCTCACTCTCCCATCAGACCTGTGAAGTAGTTCCATGATTATCAGACTCACTGAGGGACGAGGGAACTGAGGCTGAAGGTCAGTTAACGTTCCCAAGTCACATAGGGAGCAAGTGGCAGGGAGTCTTACTTGAGAGCCCTCTCTCTTAACCGCCATTGCCTCTGTTGGAACAAATGGGGGTTTCCATTCTGTCCTCGGGCCAGGGAGAGAGGCGCAGCCCTGTGCCTCTGGGGGCCCATGTTGTTCTGACATCAGGATACCTTGAGTTGCTGGTGAAAATGTAAGGGAGAAAGAGCTGAAGATTGTTGTAAAGTAACGAGCTTTCCCCACAGGAGCTCCTCCTAGAAAATTGTGGCCTTTAAGAAAGAAGACCACAGACACCACAGTAGGTGTAGCACTTCTTGTTAGGTTACCCTTGTCTCTGTAGCACAATTTTTATCTTCTCTGATGGTTCTGTATCTCTACCTCTTGTTCTGATCAGCAGACAGACCTGTCCTATTCATTTTATTTCTATGGAGCAGTAGCTGCCATTTGGACATTGTTTCTTCTAGTGGCAAGGGGACCATGCCGACAGTCCAGGGCCTCTTCTCTCTTCACGGCATGAAGGTGTGTGCAGTGGGGGGAGGTGGGACAGCTCTGGCGACAGGTTTCAACACGGAGCCCCAGCCAGGACGGCGAGTCCAACGCTGTGTGAAGGAAACAGAGCTCCAGCGAAGGGCAGCCAGACCCCGACCCGGGGCCAGGAAAAGGGACACGCTAAGGACAGGTCACCTGATAACACAAGTGCATCTTCGGAAGCTTGCAGGGATGTCCTTATAAAAATGCAAAGCGAGTGTAAAAGAAATTAATATGAACTGTTAAAGGTCAGAGTGAGCCGGAACATTGGTTTTAAAACGCTTTATCAATTAGAGACCAGAGATTTTTCCTGATGATATTTATTTCATAAATGCAATTATTTTCTAAAACATATTAAAATAGAAAACATGTTCTTTTGATCAATTTATACAAAGAAAATACCAATATAGTAATAAAAATACTGAAAATATATGAAAAGCACCAGAACATTAGAGAAATTACACTGGCAACAGTTTTAGGAATATATTTTTTTGCAATTGTACAATAAAGTGCTATTAAATCCAGTCAAAATTAGTGGGAAGATATAAAAAGTTATGCTATTATTATGAAATTTGAGGCTAGGTTTACCAGCAATTGCATTTTCAGGCAACTTGCAGATCAAACTAATGATATATCATTAATGTTTTCATGCAGAATCTATTAATTTCCATCCTCAAGTGAAAACAATCTAAATCTATATATATGTTGGTTCTTGGTAATTTGGTCATGAAAAAGTAATGACATGATTCAAAATAAAATAATTGTAGAGTACCAAAAATAATCATACAGATGTGATTAAATAAAACCAAATGAAGACAGAATAAAATTACATGTAAATATAGTGATTAAGACAAGTACAAAAGTTTAGATGCCTTTGATTTTATAGTAAGTTTTCAGTAATTTTGCTTAGTCACACTTAACAGACACACAAATGTTAACAAGATATGTTATTAAATTCAACTGACCAGACATTAAGGAAGAAGGTTTTAGTAAATCAATGTAATTTTCATATGAAACATTAAAGGGACACTGTTAGGATAAAACATTTCCAATTTTGACTAATTATTTCCTCATTTATTTGCTGAGGAACAAAAAACATACATTTTGGGATTTGATTATATTAAAGCCAGGAATCTAACATATAAGGGAAAACCACTGTGCACAAACACAGGGGGATACTACAGATAGTACTTAGGGTGGACTGCAGTCACTTTCACGTCTGGAGGTGGCAAACTGAAACAGAAAAACCCAAATTAAGAGAAAGTATCAGACCAGTGTCCTTTTAAGGTTTATTTCATAGGCCAGTTCTGAAGGGACTCTTTTATATGGTTCTTCATAACTCAGTTTTGGACTCATCAGCTTCTCTAGATGAAAACCGTCAACACTACACTTCAGAATAAATAAAGAAAATCTCCACACATGGCCCAATCGAAACTCACAATTAATTTTACAGGCAGACTATTTCTCCTTTCCTATAAAGTCGATTTACATGTAAACTGACATGGACTGAAACTGGTTATGCTAATGAGAACAAACTAATTCAGTAGCCTCTGCTCCTCCAAGGTGTTTCTTTTTAGGAATTTAGGAACCGTCTGGGTACTACTGTGACGAGGCAGAGAATCAGGCAAGTCACTTAGTCCTGGTCTGAAGGTTTACAGCTCATCACGAGTTGGTTTTTAGTCTTAAATGGAGAACTGACACTTGAGTGTTGCTTCTTTTTCCTTTCACCCTTATAGATACTCCACTCTTTGGTCAAGTTCCCTTTTCATGGCTGACTTTAACAAGGAACTGAAATGTAAACGAATTATACTGCCATGCACCTCAAAAACTAACTTATCAACATTTTTATCTAACCCCTTTCATTTAAGAAAAGAGGGTGAATATGAGGCAAAAGAGGACAACCAGGCCTTTATACTACATGAAGCAAATAGGTGAGGGTCCAGCCATAGTGAGCAACATGAAAGGGCATCAAAAGACTGGAAAGTAGAACTGGAGAGATTTTCCCACTGGACATCATTAACAGAATTCAAAGAAACCCCAACCAAACTCAGTTTTCAAAATTCTACTTAAATAAGAATGTTCATAAGAAACTCCGAGCCCTGGCCAGTGTGGCTCAGTTGGCTGAGCACTGACCCACGCACCAAGGGGCCGCCGGTTTGATTCCCGGGCAGGGCACGTGCCTGGACTGCGGGCTCCATCCCCGGCAGGGGGTGTGCAGGAGGCAGCCAATCCATGTTTCTCTCTCACACTGATGTCTCTCTCTCTCTCTCTCCCTTCCTCTCTCTAAAAATACAAACATATTTAAGAAAAAAGTCTGAGATTAATAGAAGGCAGGTTGTTAAGGAAGACAAATAAGAAAGGCAAAAGGTGGCTTGGCATTAAGTAGTTTTACATTCCAAAAGAATATTGACTACCATCTGGAAGCAACTCTCAAAATTACAGTCATGATTACAGAAATTACTCTGTATGTTTTTCCCCAATATACATGTTCTATATACACAGTATAGAAAAGCTAATAAGTTGGCTCAGCTATAATAATTATGTTATAAAAAAGCAGATTACATTCTTTTGGCTGCAACAAAGCAGGTTATAATTTTCGGTTCTGCTAATATATACACATGATAAAACTCAAGCTTTAAAAGTATTCAAATCCAAAGAAAAAATAAGTTATATCTAAAGTATTAATTTACACAGCAGATATGCATTTAATTATTTTACTAACCAGCTATACTCTTATCAATTTCTTAAGTGTTTCTTTATTCTAACAGATAACTTTCAAGACATGTATCTGTTCCGCTTTAAATGTTGCACATTTCCTTTCAGGAAGCACAGATGTGTGACACTGTTAGTAGCATGGTGGAGAAGTTCTGGGTCCTGCTTTTTCCAGCTAATGGACGAAAGAGTCATGTTTCCTACCAAGCAGCACTTCTTTAGCTGTACAACAAATAGAAGAAAGAGATGACAAAAGCAAGCAAGAGCGCTGTTAAGGAAAGCAGCAGCTGCTGGAACCAGATACAGCGCTGAACTTGGTCTTCAAGCTTTCTATTGCTTTCTAGTAAACGATTGAGCTAAACGGAAAAAAGGATGAGAGATTTGTATCAATAAAACTGGACTTCAATCATGTGAACAACAAACAGGCATATCAGGAACCCAAACGTTTACAGGATGCGCCCATCTATTCTGAAAGGCTGGTAGCTGGAAATGCAACGAGGAGTTAGACTCGTTTGGTGAGCAAACATGTATCTGCTTACTCTTGTTTGGAAAAGGTCTAATTTCTAATGAGAAAGGAGCAAAGTAATCACTTCCTGGGAGTACTGAAACCAGCTACTTGAAAAGAGAGTAGCACTCCCTCTCCGTCTTTTTTTCATTTAAATACACTACATGGTACCTCTTCTGTGACAGAATTCTTTGATTGCTCCCACTGTGCAATATGGTTTCTAGATCAAATTAAAATGGCCAGAGCTTTGCCTCCCCCAGTGTGGCTCGGTTGCTTGGGCATCAGTACATGCACTGAAGGGCTCCGGGTTCAATTCCCGGTCAGCGCACAAGCGCGGGCTGCAGGCTCGATCGCTGGGGGGGTGCGGGAGGCAGCCAATCGATGCTTTGATCTCACATTGATGCTTCTCTCTCGCTCCCTCTCTAAAAACCAATTAAAAATCTTTGAAGAAAAAAAAATGGACAGAGCTTTAAAACAGTTAGCAGATCTCCAAAAGTAACTTGCAGCTTACCATTTGTGATTTGGCTTCCCTTCACAAAAAAGAGAGCATTTCCATTGTATCTATGCCAAAGGTTTTCCTTAGGTCAGTGGGAAAAACGGATTTCTAATGTTAATTAGCATTAACAACACTGTTTTAGTTAGGAGAACGAGCACTTACTTGTAGACACATATCTTCACTGGCTTTATCTGACATGTTAAAAGCACCGTCTTTTAATGTAAGAGTGGTTGGTTTACTGCTCTCAACAATATGGCATCTTAACCTATGAAAATCCAAATGAAACATAACTTCTTAAAATTTTTAATTTTTAAAAAAAGAAGTAAAATATGAAATAAAAAACCCCCAGAGAAGTATATGTAACACAGTTGAAAATACTCATTCCTTTCCCCAGATTCACCTAAAGTAGCAGCTCAGTGTGTATTTATCTTTGAAGGGGACAGAATTTGGTATTAATATTATCTTGAGCTCATTTTAAAATAAAACAAAAAACAGACACTGGAAAAGCTCTGAAACTCAGGAACTTACCCCTTTGTAAGAAGGAGTTATATTTATAAGGGAATCTCCGTTTGTATGAGTGTCTCCCACTCTGTACCTGAAAGAAGGCTAAATCTATAAAAGACTCTTATCAATGGAGAAGGCACTGACCTAAATCTATATAACAACCTTGCCCTTGTTTACTGTGCTTTGCCTGATAACCTCCCATAACTGGCTCCTTCACCCTAACATCTTTTGTCTTTAGCTGGAGACGGTATTTAAGGTGGTGGCTTGGGCCATTTGGGGGAGTTTTACTGTTTTCTGGGTCCCTCCCATGTACCCAGGATGATATACATGTTATTAAACTCCTGCTAGTTTTTCTCCTG